TGGAGACTCAGACTGGCATAGAAACTGACCAATCAGAACCAAATCTGGGTGAAGTGTAAGAAGCCAGTGACTGACCAGGAGGTGGAGCTTTTGACACTGACTGGCATAGAAACTGACCAGTCAGAATCAAATCTGGGTGAAATCAATGAGCCAATGGCTGCCTAGGAGATGGAGCTTTTGACACTGACTGGCATAGAAACTGACCAATCAGAGCCTAATCTGGGTGAACTGCGAAGGCAGAACCTAAGGTGGGGACTGAGGAGGGGTTTTAAGGGCAACAGCTGTTTGGTGTAATGTTAGAAAGCAGTTCAATTTTTTAATGACTGCTTTGACAGTATAGTGCATATGGCTATCAGTCCAGATATAGGGATTATGTATTTTTGTCTGCCAAGAGCATGTCCTCCTGATGAAAAAGTCTCCTTCCCCCGCCATCCACCCCCACATTTAAGAAATCTTATTCTATATAATCTATTTATACTACTAAAAAGGTAATATGCTAATTAGATTGGGTCAACTGACCATCTTCTGGACATCTGACTTCCTTCTGGACTAAGTCACAGTGATGGGGGCCCAGGCAGAGGTTGTTAGGGTGATCAGGCAAGCATGGGAGGACAGTTTGGGGTGAGATCAGGCTGGCAGGGGAGGGCAGTTAGGGACAATCAAGCAGGCAGAGGCAGTTAGGGGTGATCAGGCCGGCAGGGGAGGGCAGTTAGGGACAACCAAGCAGGCAGAGGCAGTTAGGGGTGATCAGGCCGGCAGGGGATAATAATTGGGGGCAAAATCAGGCTGACAAGGGAGGGCAGTTGGGGGAGCCAGGCTGGTAAGGGAGGAGAGTTGGGGGCAAGATCAGGCTGGCAGGGGAGGGCATTAGGAGTGAGATCAGGTCAGCAGGGAAGGGCAGTTGGAGGCAACCAGGCGGGTAGGGGAGAGAAGTTGGGGAGTGAGATTAGGCAGGCAGGGGAGAGCAGTTGGGGGCGAGATTATGTCAGCAGAGGACCGTATCTATTAATAGTTCTTTTAGTAAGAGACTGTGGGTAGTTTAACATTTTGTCTTCATATGGCTTTGAATGTCTGAAAATGCTATCCCACTCCCCCACTCTTGTTTCCTGGGTTATTTTTTTTAATTATCTAGTATTGATTGTTGTTGAGAAGATGCCAGTTTAATTTTTATTCATTTGTAAATAATCTCCCACTTGTCTTTGGTGGCTCTTCAGTTTTTTTTCTTTCTATATGACATTCTAAAGGTTCTGTTGTTTACCTAAGATACATCTAGGTGTGGATTTTTGAAATTTATTTTAGTCCACTTAACTCCTGATAATATTTTCATTTGGTTTTGGAAAATTTTTAGCCATTATTGCTTTCAGTGTTTGTTCTTATTGATTGCATCTTAGATGCATTCTGGAACCTCACATTTCTTTCTCTTAACTACATTTTCAATTTTTTTTTTAAATTAAAAATGTTTTTTATTAATTTTAGAGAGAGGAATGGAGAGGGAGAGATAGGAACATCAATGATGAGAGTGAATAATTGATCGGCTGCCTCCTGCACACCCTGTACTCTGGATGGAGCTGGCAATCTGCATGTACGCTGACAGAATCGAATTGTGATCTCCTGGTTCCTGGGTTGACACTCAGCCACTGAACCATACTGGCCTGACTCCTAATATTTTCCATTTGAATAACCTGAAAACACTTTTATTAGAAAGTGATAGATAAATACAATAAAATCATTTAAAAAACCTTTTTATGGGGAGAATTTTGAACATGCAAAAATGTACATAATAATATAATACTCTAATCACTGTGCCACCTAGTTTTCAATACTGTGAAAAGCACATCATAGACATCATTTCTTTCATTAATAGTTCTGTGTGTATTTCTAAAATATTAGAACTCTTTTATTAATAAGAAGATAATCTCAATTCCTTAATTCTTTAAATATTCAACAAGTAATCAAATTTCTAATTGTTTGTTATATCACAAATGCTTTTTCTTTTTTATAATTTTTTAAAACCAGGATCCAAATAAGGTCCACACATTGAAACTTTACAGTCTTAATTAATGTTTGTTTCCTGCATTACTTCTCTTTTTACTTTTTTAACCAGGTTGGTTAGTTTCCCACAATCTAGATTTTGCTGGTCACAGCCTCATAGAAAAGTTTAATGTGTTTCTCTGTTCATATATTTTCAGAAAACATTTTCTTACGTATTCCTATCTTACTATTTTTTTCTTTCTTTTTTTAAATATATTTTATTGATTTTTTACAGAGAGGAAGAAAGAGGGATAGAGGGCTAGAAACATCAATGAGAGAGAAACATCGACCAGCTGCCTCCTGCATACCCCCTACTGGGGATGTGCCCGCAACCAATGTAACATGCCCTTGACCAGAATACAACCTGAGACCTTTCAGCCCGCAGGCCGACACTCTATCCACTGAGCCAAACCAATTTCAGGCTATCTTACTATTTCTACTTCTTCAGCTGATTGCCTTTCTGTAGGTGATTAATTTGTAAAGACAATAATGTTGCCTATATTATAATAAGGATTGTTTGTTACAGAGCCAAGGAGTATTCTAAACTGTTATTTCACCCCTTGTCAAGTGTTCTTCCATTGGAATTGCCTGCCTCCTGCCTGCCTGCCTTCCTTCCTTCCTTCCTTCCTTCCTTCCTTCCTTCCTTCCTTCCTTCCTTCCTTCCTTCCTTTTTTTTTTTTTTTTTTTTTTTTAATATTTTTATTGATTTCAGAGAGGAAGGGAAAGGGAGAGAGAGACAGAAACATCAGTGATGAGAGAGAATCATCGACCGGCTGCTTCCCGCTTGCCCCCCACTGGGGATCAAGCCTACAACCCAGGCATGCGCCCCTGACTGGAATCAAACTTGGGACCCCTCAGTCCACAGGCCAATGCTCCATCCACTGAGCCAAACAACCAGGGTGCCTTTTTCTTTTCTGTCACTGCTTTCCTTTTTTATATCATCTGTAGGTATTTATGTTTTGTTTGGCTTTGTTTTCTACTCCATCTTAGCAAGCAGCCTAGCACCACTTTTTTCTCAAGTTTTTTAGAGGCAGAGGGCTCCTGTCTGAGGCCTGCTGCCCAGCTGTTATCATAATCCTTTACTGATTTCCAGGATTGGATCTATTTTTTTTGGACCAGATGTCATACTTTTTTATTTACTCCTTTGTTCTGGCATGTTTTAGCTCAGTAAAGTAACTTGTTAAATGCTGTTTTTGGGTAAACTTTGAATCTTCAAGTGTTTGAAAGTGCTTTTTTTTTTTTCTGGGTAAAAATTCTAAGTTGTAAACTATGTATGAGATTAGAAAATTCAAAATAATGATACAAAATAAAAAGGAAAGCCATTCTTACCTCTTAGATCCCTTTCCTATAGGTAGTCTTCTTTTAAAATCCAGTGGATTCGCTCTAACCGATTGGCTCAGTGGATAGAGCGTTGGTCTGCAGACTAAAAGGTCCCAGGTTCGATTCCAGTCAAGGGCATGAACCTTGGTTGCCGGCACATACCTGCCAGGCCTGAGGCCTTTTAAAAAACAGTAGTTGCTGAAAAGTAGATCCAGCTTCTTATCACTGATGATATTTATTAGACATGATATATTCCTATTACCATTGACAAGAAGCTTGAATTGGACTCTCCCCTTGTAGCGTTCATGTATGTAACTTTTCTTGGCTATGCTCTTACTTGGATGTTTGATTATATTTTGGAGAGTTATTGCTTTAGATATAATTGGCCAAATGTACTCTTGAAAATAATGTTTAGGTAGCCAAATATCTGGTAGAAACCAACTCACCTAAAGTATACCTGAGAATAGATAAAAACAAGAAAAGTTTGTTTGATACTAACAGGTATCTGGGGGGATATGTTTAATATATATATGAAAAAATGCTGAACAAATTGCTAGCATGTTGAATCCAGTAATATTTAAAAAATAATAAATCTTTAAAAAAATTCTTCATTGATAAAAGTATTACATATGTTGCCTTTTCCCCCATTGACTCCCTTCAGTCTGCCCCTCTCCCTCCTTCCTTTCCTTAGGCCTTTAGCTCTTATTGTCTCTGTCCATAGGTTATGCAAGTAAGGTCTTGGGTTGATTATTTCTCACCCACCCACCCTTCCCCTGTCTTCCCTCTGAGATTCTGCACTCTGTTCCTGCTTCCATGTCCCTAGGTCCATTCTGTTCATTAATTTATTTTGTTACTTAGATTCCACATGAGTGCAATCTATATATATAAAAGCTTAATATGCTAAGTGTCTAACTGTTCGACCATTTAACTATTCAACTGATGTCTATGATGTGCACTGGCCACAAGATTTGGGTAGGAAGAGAGTGAAGGGGGAAAAAACAAAAGGAGTCACCCTCCTTTTAAGGAGTGGTCCTGGAAGCACAATCCAACAACTTTCATTTAATCTTATTTGCTAACACGGGCTCACGGGGTTATCCACCTATGGGGAAGTACAGTGTATTGTTTTGTTTTTTGATACATTAACTCTCCTTCAATATCAAGGAAGAAGGAAAAATGCAGATTGGTTATGTAACTGCAGTTTTGCCATAAGTATAAATTATTCTAAATGGTATAACTTCACAAATTCTATACTTCTGCCCAATAACTTACTGAACATATTTTATATCTTTCTACTCTTGAACAGTTTTATTCTCTTGGAATGTTTTTCCTCTTCCATTCATTTAAATTCAATCCATTGTTCAAGATCAGTTTTAAATATTAACTCCTCTTATAAAAATTGAAATGTTATTTTCCCCCTTCAGACATTAATAAGCTATTGTCAGAGTAATTCATTTGTTAAGAAATCATGTTGCCTCATGGGATATTTTTGGTAGTCTGCAACTGATTTTCTCTGTTTTGTGTTACATATTTATATTATGTTTCCTCAGTTAAATGGTAAACTTCACAATTTTATAGTCCTTGTCTACAGGAAGTTTATAATCTTGATGGTTTTCACAATCATTGATTAACTGTGTTATTTTCTCTTATAGGCAAATGTCCTGAAAAAGACTGCGTGGAAATGGCTTGCCTCACAATGACAGAAATGGAAGGAACATGCACACCTCCTATGCATCAGAATGGTGATATTCCTGGAATTACTGATCCTGTGAAACAAATAGATCCAATCCTTCAGGTGTATCTTTATCATTCCCTTGGGAAAACTGAGGGAGATTACCTGAAGTTTTCAACTGGGGAATATGTTGCAGAAGAAATTTGTGTTGCTGCTTCTAAAGCCTGTGGTAACTATTAAAAATATTTTTTCTATTTATTAATAGATGATTGCTTTAATTATGCTAATCTAATACAACACACATGTAGAACATGCATAAAACATGAGAACATCACTAGAGTAGAATTTAAGGTAAATCTGCCTTGGTCTGGTCCTATAGATGGAATGTTTGTGTTCCCCTTCAAACTTATGTTGAAATCTATTCTCCCAGTGCTGTGGTCTGCAAACTGCAGCTCACAAGCCACATGCGGCTCTTTGGCCCCTTGAGTATAACTCTTCCACAAAATACCATGGCCTAGGCGAGTCTATTTTGAAGAAGTGGCATTAGAAGAAGTTTAAGTTAAAAAAAATTTGGCTCTCAAAAGAAATTTCAATCATTGTACTGTTGCTATTTGGCTCTGTTGACTAATGAGTTTGCCGACCACTGCCCCAGTGTGATGGTATTTGGAGGTAGGACCTTTGGGAAGTGATTAGATCATGGTGGGGGGGTGGGGTGGGTAATGTCCTTCATCAGTGGGATTAGTACCCTAAAAGAGACTCCAGAGAGCATCTCTGCCCCTTCAGACATGTGAGGACATAGTAAGAAGATGAATCAGAAGATGAACCTTCTATGAACCAGGCGTAGGTCCTTATTAGAACCTGAATCTGCCAGTGCCTCGGTTTTGTACTTTTAGCCTCCAGAATGATGAGAAATGTCTGTTATTTATAAGCCACAGAGTTGATGGTATTTTAGTTAGAGGATTCCAAATGGATTAAGACAAAAATTGGTACTGAGAAGTGGAGGAGGGGGGAAGATGTAACAAATACCTAAAAATGTGAAAGTGGCTTTGAAATTGCATAATGGGTAATGGAAGAGTTTTGAGTGCATGGTAGAAACAGCCTTCATTGTGCAGTCTGGTGAGGACTCAGAAAGAAAAGAAGAGAGCTGTAGAGAAAGCCTCAATCTTCTTAGAGAATATTTAATCATGAATAGAAAGCTGGTAGAAATATGGATGGTAAAGGCCATTTTGATGAGGTCTTAGATCAGATGAGCAACATGTTACTGAAATCTGGAAGAAAAGTGATCCTTGTTGTAAGGTGCCAAAGAACTTTCCTGAATTGTGTTTATATTTTACTGTTTTGTGGAAGGTAGAGTTTTGTGAGCAATAAAATTGGATATTGACTTAAACACACTGTTCAAAGTCATTACTTGACTGCTACTTACAGTAAAATGTTTGAGAAATGACTTAAAGATGGAATTGTTAAGCAAAAAGGAAGCAAAACTTGAAGATTTGGAAAATTCTCAACTATCCATCTTGTAAAAAATGAAAAAGTGGTATCTAAAGAAAACACTATTTGATAATTAGTGTGGACCAGCCATATCAATAGGTACCATATCAACAGGTACCAGGCGCTATTTCCTAAGACAATAAAAGAATGACACTAAGGGCAATTTAGAAGTCACTCAGGCTGCCTCTTCTTTTGCAAAGGCCTGATGGCAGAACAATTTCAAAGGAGAGCTGCCAAATCTTAGAGACCTCCTGCTTGCTCCCTGGTGCTGCCTCATAGTGAGGGTTCCTCTGGTGCTCTGCCCAGGTTTAGCTCTGGTAGTGCTCAGTGCAGCAGCTGCCCCTCTGTAGGTTGCATGCTACAAACTTTGATAGAGTAAACTGTTTCTACCAGCTTAAGAATGCAGGTCCAGGGGGTATGGCTGCATCCACCTAGATTTCAAAGGATGGAGTCACCCAAATCCATGGGGCAGCGCTCCCAAACTCTGCCAGGCCTAGGAATTACAATTTGTCTCTTAAATTTGTAACAATCTAATCTGAATTATTGCTTATATACAACTCTGTACCTCTGTACCTTCTCCTTTATGATATTGTTTTACTAATTATATCTTTATGCATTGTGTAGATTTATAATTATTGGTTTATGCATTTGTCATATGCATAAATCATCTAGGTAAAAAGAAGAATTATAATAAAAATCTAAAGATAATAAAAATCTAATACTGGCTTTTTATTTACCTATGCAGTTAACCTTCATCAGAGTTCTTTTTCATTATTTTTAGCTACTCTCTAATATCACATCATTTCCACCTAGGCTTATTCCTTGTAGGAAATATCTATTAGATGTGAACTCTTTCAGCTTTTGTTTATCTGAGAATGTTTTACTTTCTTCTTCATTTTTGAAGGATAATTTTGCAGATACAGAATTCTTGTCTGAGAGTTTTCTCTTTGAGTGCTTTAAATATGTCATTCTATTGCCTTATAACCTGAATGGTTTCTGATGAGAAATTGGCTTTGAGTCTTATTAAGGATTCCTAATCAAGAATTTCTTATATGTAACAAATCACTTCTCTCTTGCTGTTTTCAAGGTTCTCTCCTGCTGGCTTTTTTTTTTTTTTAAATATATTTTATTGATTTTTTACAGAGAGGAAGGGAGAGAGATAGAGAGCTAGAAACGTCGATGAGAGAGAAACATCGACCAGCTGCCTCTTGCACACCCCCTACTGGGGATGTGCCCACAACCAACGTACATGCCCTTGACCAGAATCGAACCTGGGACCTTTCAGTCCGCAGACCGACGCTCTACCACTGAGCCAAACCTGTTTTGGCTATTGTTGGCTTTTGATAGTTTGATTTTAATGTGTTTTGGTATATATAACACTTTGTGTTTGTCTATCTTAGGACATACTGATCTTCATGGATTGTGTATCTGTGGGTTTCATCAAATTTGGGGAGGTTTTGCCCTGACTGGTTTGGCTCAGTGGATAGAGCATCAGCCCTCAATTGAAGAGTCAAGGGTTTGATTCAGGTTAAGGGCATGCATCTTGGTTGTGGGTTCTATCCCTAGTAGCAGGCGTGCAGATGGCAGCTGATTGATGTTTCTATTTGTCCCTCTCCCTTTCTCTAAAAATATCAATAAAAAATATTTTTAAAAATATTAAAAAAAAAAAAAGGTAGGTTTGGGCCATTGTTTCTCTAAATATTCTTTTTGTGCCTATCTCTAGTTTATCTTCCTCTGGGACTCCCATATTATACTCTGTATAATTTCAGTCCTCGAAATTTGTTGATTGTCTTATGATTCAGATTATCAGGCAAGTTTTAAAAAATGTTTCACAGGAAAGAGACCAAGATGGCGGCATAGGGTAGACACCCGAATGCAGCCTACCACAACAAATTTGAATTTAGAACTGAAAAACAGGGGAGGCATTGCCCTGAAGCTCCAGACGGCTGGCTGAGAGGAGGCTCTGCCATCTGGGAAGGAGAGAGAAGGCACGTTGAACCTCAGGAACTGTGAAGGTACGGAGAACTGTGTGCACGAAAAGGCGCTGGCTTAATCCCGGTGCGGAGAGGAAGGGCCGGACCGAGATTGCTGCTGGTTTACTCCCTGCACGCAGAGAGGGCGGGCCTGACTGAGTTCGCTACTGGCTTACTTCTGGCGCGGAGAGGGCGAACAGCTAACGTGGCTGGCTTTCTTGTCTGAGAGGAAAACAGAATCACCCTATTGCCCCATTCAGGGAGAGGCCAGACTGTCAGGCAGTGGGCAGAGATCTCTTGGAGGTGTGTGAAGCCAGAGGCCATTACTGCGGGACTTGGGGAGGAGCCGAAGGGAAAACAAAGTTTGTCTGCACCAACCCGAGACTCCGCCCTACCTGTGGCTGAGCACAGAAGCTCTCCCAGAGGCTGGCTTTCTCTAAGGAGGGACTTGCAGGAATCCAAAGCTTGTCTGCGCCTTTACCAAAGAGGTGCGTGCGCGCCTGCAACCAATCTTCCAACACTTTGCACGAACAGGACTTTTCTAAGGCGAGACTGACAGGGAACCAAAGATTGTCTGCGCCACCCCGAGACCCCGCCCTATTCAAGCAGAGTACGGAAACCCTCCTAGCTGAGACACTGCTGATCCTCACAGCCAATTGGCTTGGAGATCAACGCTTCCCAGTGATACCAACAATAAGCAAGGCTTAACAACAAGACTGCACACACAGCCCGCAAAGGGCTACACCAAGACTGTCCACTGCAGGTAACTGGGAAGGCTGTGCTACTGGGCTCTACCAGAACACCTAGCACACAAAGCTATTCCATCAAATCAGGGAAACAACTAAAATGCAGACAAGAAGAAGGACACAAAGAAAAGATTGGACATTGAGTTCAAAACTACAGTTATAAGGTTATTCAACAATATCCTAAAAAAGGCCAATAAAATAAATGAGACCTATGAGGATATGAAAAGGGAGCAACTAGAAATAATAAGGGATCAACAAGAAATGAAGAAAACATTGTCTGAAATAAAAAATATTATACAAAGTCCTAAAAACAGACTGGAAGATCGCAAGAATCAAGACAAAGATTTAGAACACAAAGAGCCAGAGGACACTCCTCTGCAGAAGGGAGAAGATAAGAGAATCCAGAAAGTTGAAGATAGTGTAAGAAACCTCTGGGACAATTTCAAGCGAACCAACATCAGAATTACGGGGATTCCAGAAGAGAGAGAGCAAGATACCGAAAGAGTACTAGAAGAAATAGTGACAGAAAACTTCCCCCACCTGGGGAAAGAAATAGACTTACAAGTCCAGGAAGCCCACAGAACCCCAAACAAAAGGAATCCAAGGAGGACCACACCAAGACATCATAATTAAAATTCCAAGAGCAAAAGACAAAGAGAGAATATTAAAAGCAGCAAGAGAAAAGCAGGTAGTGACCTATAAAGGAGCACCCATAAGATTGTCAGCTGATTTCTCAACAGAAACCATGCAGGCCAGATGGGAATGGCAAGAAATATTCAAGGTGATGAATAACAAGAACCTACAGCCAAAAATAATCTACCCAGCAAAGCTATCACTCAGAATCAAAGGACAGATAAAGAGCTTCACAAATAAAAAAAAAGCTAAAAGAGTTCATCACCACCAAACCAGAATTATATGAATTGCTGAAGGAGGTTATTTAGGAAGAGGAAGAAGATAAAGATAAAAATTATGATCAACAAATACGTAGCTATCAACAAGGTAATCTAAAAAGCAAGGGAATT